TATATATATATATCAGAACGATTGAGTTTTCAACTATCTTTACTAAGATTTTTTTTTATACAGTATGATGTACACTATCCACTATCTACTATATATTATATAAGTGCTAAATGTTTTTTTTAATACCCTATATATATGTATGTGTGTGTTTTATAACGAAATAATTTCTCTAAATTACTATCTTATAGCTATAATATGTTTAATAAATTTAATATTTCTTTAATATTACCCTTGTAGCTTTGCGACTGGGAAGATTTCCCTTGTCTTTGGAAGAATGCAAACAAAACACGGATCATCACAAACATGGTTACAGAAAATTTTACATGCGAATGTATAACTCCATGCTGGAATGTGATGTACCATTTACGTACTTCTACGCTCCCGTTAAACGGTGCACACGAATTCAATCCCCCGATATAGTATGTTATAATAAAATGATACAAAGCACATAAACATCGCTCGAAATATTGTTTCTAAATATGTATATACCATATTACGTTGCCATACATATATAGATATATGTTATTTATTTCAGTAAAAATCTTTCGAAAGCTCAATCTGTTCTAAGCGTATTCATGAGATCCTCAACATTCATGGAAACAGAAACAATCCCGGTTGCTGATGAATTATATTTACTATGTAAGCGATTATTTGTATTTTTATCAAATTTTCACAATCTGTTTTAACTCTTTTACACGATTAAATCATTCATGTCCCCTTTGTTCACACGATTGGGTAATTAGCCTTGGCTGTAAGCAGTTATAATATTTATATACAATTTTTTTTAATACACAATTTTTTTTATAAATATTTTTTTAAAGATGTTAAAGTAAGGGAAGGGGGGCAAATAGTGACGGATTTTTTCCTCTCTCCCCTACAAGCTAATTTCAAGTTTATAAGAGATGATTTTTTACTAAAAGAGTACTTTCCACTTTCAAATATACAAAATTCTTAATTCCATAAGTCATAGTATACGGGGTAGATTTTTATAAAAACTAAAACCTATATTTGTCACTATTTATATTGCTCCATCCTATGGGTAAATATTGACACCTTATGGGACAATTACAAAATACTTCTTAAAATAATTCTTAACTCTTAATCGATCTTTCTTTTGATATTTTGATTAAATAAGGTAATTTATATTAATTTCTATGCTCTGCCATATGTAAATTTTTATTTACTGATAAATAATAGTAGTAATATTATTTGCTAATATTTCTTATTGAAAATCGCGTTTATTCTGGATCTTTCTTTGTAACTAATCTCACATTATCCCAAATAAATTAGAAAAATTATATTCAAAATTATATTCAAATATTAAAAAAGATTTTTGATTTGTCATTATTTACCCAACTAAAAATTGTCATTATTTGCTCCAGGAGTTACTTTTTCCTTGAAAACTTTACTGAGAGAAATAAAATTAATATACAAGCATAGGAATTATGTATATCAAAATAGAGGAAAAAAGTATCATATGGCATAGAATAGGTTAGATTTCATTCAACGATTCAACAATTAAGAAAATATAACTTTAAATATCAAAAAAAATCCAGGTTTACCTTATTTCACGAATTCAAAATTTTTAAACTTCTCCGCTAGCTATATTTGACATTTGATTTTTACGGCTTTTTCAGAAGATGATTAGATGCTTGAGAACTGTCTTTCTATTAACGAGTAGTGGTAAAATAGACGCGGGAAAGAGAAGAAATGTAAAGTGACACTATTTGCCCCCTGTCACTATTTGCTCTCTCTTCCCTTACATGTTAAAATCACGTAATAATTTTTATATACTTGTAAAAATGATCGAAATTAATACAAACACAACTCATCGTGTGTAGCAAAGGACTGAAAATTATTGTGTGTGTGTGTGTATATTAAACATTAATTTCTTAATTAAAAGAAGAGAAAATCTTTTCAGGTGCGCTGGGCGGCGTATTCAATCTTTTCTTGGGATGTAGCTTCATAAGCGTCCTGGAGATTTTTTACTTCATAGGAATATATCTTTGTTCCGCAGTCAAGAAGTCAAAATAATCGTCGCCAAAAGTTTCACTAGCGATATATATTAAACAATGTAATTGAATTTATAAATTAAACAACGTAATTGGATGTTTGATCGCACTTTTATCGGAAGGGTAATTGAATGAGGAAATGAATTTGGCATTGGTACACCATCGTACATAACATCTCTCGGGACACCGGGTGTGCGGATGCCGCATCGAGCAACTACGAATCTGGAGCGATTAGATCTATTTCGAGCGGTTACTGGAGCGCTGCCGTAACATTTAAGTCCACGCCCGTGAAAATATTTACTACGACGAGTTTCCTACGAAAGAGAGAGAGAAAGAGAGAGTTTGAGATATCGTGTGTGGTGATCTTCGGAATTAAATCGTACACGACAAATGATCTGCATAAGTTTACGAATAATGTTGCAATTTCTGGTCCTTCTTCAGGATATCGCTCGATCGGTTACGTAAACGTGACACGTCAATTTTCGTACTCGTGCATCTCATTTGATTTGTGCATTTCGTCATCCGCACGCACCTGCACGCACCTGTCCGTTAAATGTTGGCAATAATATAAGGAACACATTTGAAATTAGCAACGTGCAAATATAACGGGGTGGCATTCCGGTACGGTCAAGTACGGAGATGGCAGATTTACGTCGGAACTGGAAGAAACGTAAAAGCGGTGTTGACTTGTTAGAGCCGAGTAAATCTGGTATTTGACTTGGCGATTGTACGAGACGTATAAGTTATCCCGCAAAACAAAGGCGAGAACAGCGGATGTGTGCGTACAAAAAAAAAAGTGGATATTTATATCATAGAAGTCGGTATTTGAGAAGTGCGCATGAATACATTAAGCAAAGTAATTCGATACTTGAGTCATACGCGGCCTCACACAGGAGAATCTCCGCCTTACGTAATGTTTGAAAGCTTTTCGTTAAACGCGGCCCTAATTGCGGCCCAGCATTGAAATGTGTACTAATCATGTCGTCTATTTTCGCGTGCGCTGTCGAAAATACCGATTTAGTTCTACGCGGACGTACGGCCGAACTTCGAGAGCTGGAAGCGCCGACTATTTTTGGAGAAACGCCCACACATAACGCGGAACGGCCACGTCGTTCGCGTCTCTACAAAGTTCTCGCCGTTTTGCACCTCGTAACAGAATCCGCAATTTTTCGCAATTGCGCGCGTCCTCCTTCTCTAATTGTAGCCCGTTTTACCATCACGCATACCAGCACGATAATAATGACATAATGACAAGTTATTTCCGGAGTGACGGTAAGTAATGGCAAAGTAAACTCTAGCCGCGCGGCATTCTCAACGAAGAGATTTATTTTATCGTTGTGTTGCATTTATATAAAAAAGAAACATATACTACAGATTTTTAAAGAAATATATTCGTAATATATTTTTAATATATCGCCAGTTGAAGGTAAACGAGGCGTTTCCGATATATACGAACGCACGTGAAACAAACTGATATATTTATTTCGATGACTTCAAATGAGCACAATTCAACGACGATGCGAATTATAGACTGTAGATCACGCTCGTGAGATAATAAATATTGTTTTGCATTCAAGACAATGTATTCATAGCTAATTAACGGGGAAGATATAATTGGTGTCGATAAGCCGATTTTCACGACGAAGTGGCAAGAAATTGAAGCGAGGCAGGGAACAAACTTTTGAAATTCTTCCTATGACCCGGTAAATATATTTTTAGATCATTTCCGTCGTGGAAATCGGTCGCTAAACAGTCAAAGGTGATTTGCGTAGAACATGTCTCCAGGCGCCTAAATTGTAGAAAATATATAGTAGGTGAGAACTGGTGAGCTCCGAACGAGGTGTCCGTGACGATCTTGGATCCTCTGAATGCATCCGCCTTTCGACACATGTTTTCTCTTGTTGTTCAGCCCTAAAAAAAATGTACGACATTCCGTATTTAAAATATTATTAAATGCAAGTTAAGTTTATATTATTGACCATTTCAAATGGAACGATGTAATCAAATGACTTATTAATAATAAACATTGAAAGCAATACGATATCATAAGATATATATATATAGGATTAAAGCGAAGCAAGACGAATAATGGAATGAATTCCGCTTACTGTTCGGAGATTTCAATGACCAACTTAACACAAAACCTTCTTAACCCCATAGTCTTATTCTGTAACTCTTCTCTCCTAGCGTCATATGATCTTAAAATTAAAGCTACAAATACACTTAGATAATTTTAATTGGAAAAAAATGAAAAGCATTGTTTTCATGCAATGATTTTAGATATTAACAATATCAAAATTAAAATAGAAAATGCGAAAGTACTCGAGCCACTCGATGTAAATATTTTGTAAATAAAAATCAAACGATGCAAATACATTCATTAATAGACGCAACTCACCATGGTGAGGAATGTCTGTTGTGCTTAAAAAAACAATCCCGAGTACAATACCCAAAGCGAGATTAATAGAAGAATAAGGATGAAATACGTCATCAGAAGGTTCGTCGTCTCGTGTCCCGCGTTTGGCATTTTTTTTTACTGGTATGGAGAGCTGTATGTTATGACATATGAAATCAATTATTCACTAGGTACACACCATTGCCCGATAAAATTTTCCCTTATTCCTCATTGATAAAGAATCGATCGATCGTTCTTTTCAAATTTTCGTGAACTTATGTGTGCAACGGCAATAAGTGATTCTTATTTTCTCCTCACATCGCACTGATTTCTGACATTTACAATTAAAGAATATACAACATTGTAATATTTTTATAAAACTCGAGCTTCGATCGATCTTCGTTTGAAGAGGAGCTGCGATACTCACTCGAATATACTCGGATTATCACGAACTAATTGCGAATTATTGCCGTTATAATCGATTGGTAATCTATTTCCGATTGTAAACGTTATTACATGAAAACACTTTGAGCTTCCGATTCTTGAAGATCACTCGGATCTAGGAATGCGTTCCACGCCGCCCTACGTGCGATCGTAGACTGGATCACGCGGTGCAGGATTCGCGCGCTCGCACCGCCCTGCGATCCCGAAATTCCTCCAGGAACCGCATCACCACCCCCACCCATTAGCTTACGTATACCGTGTCGCACCTTCCCGCGAGCACCTTCTGCTCCAGGATTGGTAGAAGACAAGATCCCACCCATCGGCTAATGTTGCTTGGAGAGCAGAACGGAGTTTTCGCTACCTCGAGTTATATTAAGGCATTGTGGACGTTAGGCGTAACTTCCTAACAAAAACGCCGCCAGATCGGTTCCAGATAACCGTCGAGACGCTTATAAGTATTGGCAGGTTCAAGATCGTTACGAAATTAATATGCATCGGTCCATTAAGCGTGATTGGGATTTGCAAGATGCATCGTGTTATTCTGAAATGAGTTCGGGTAACTGCCAGAACTGTTGCGCGCGATTAAGATTTCACTCCTTAGCCGATCCGTGCCAATATAGAAGGCCGTCCATCATTTTCGGGCTCTCGTCTAAATTTAACTCGTTTAGCCAAACATCAATCTCGATGAACAATGTACGGACACCTCCGAACTCCAGCTCGACCGTTATATAACACGCCTACCTCGTGAAAAACACGTACCGGATACTACTATTCCTCGATCTAATTTATGAATTAAATTCCCAATCAAAGTCGACAGAAATATTATTCTTGTCTTCAATAACAAATTCAGACGTGGATCTACGGAACGTGTATATTAACATCCAAAGGCCGATCTTAGCCAAATTTTTTTAACTTTTCAATTCACTGAGTCGATTTAATTGTAATAGCAATCAATTTAATTTAATTACTAATAGTTAAAAAAATTAAACCGAGATAATAATTCAATAGTTATTAATTGGTCGGCAGCACTCATTACTAATCACAAAGGTCTTAATTACAATTTTATTGTTGAATACATAATATACATAATATTCGCATGTTGTTTGCAATGCTACATATGTACAATTTTATCTACGAAGAATAATTAATTAGTTGGTAACTACTAACTACACATAATTTCTGATCTCTGTGGAATCCTTTCTGCAGATATTTCTTAATTGAAGATATCCTTGCACTACAATACTATTTACATACAGGCACTCAAATATGGCTGCGTTCAAAGCAATAACTTTGGACACGATATGACACAATTTACGTTACGAAAATAACGAAAAGCGAAACTTTTATTACTTTTATTAACTCACGGTACACATGGTGCGCATATAAATAGAGATTATCCTAAGATAATATTTCGTTCTATAAATTGCGTACCGATATAAAAATTGCGGCGTACATCTCATATGACTTTTACGAAACCCGACTTGTAAGAAGTTGACAGTGATTCTTTCTTGGCACAGGCGAAACGAGTTCTTTTATTCGCTTTACTATCCCTAAATTCTTGGCACGAGGCACCGCTATACATTTAAAACGCCATAACTTCAAAAATAAATAGTTCTGAGGTACTGCATCTATATACGAGTACTTATAAATATATGTATATGAATATATTTCGACCGTGAAATATGACGATAAAATTAATAACGCATAATTAACATGTAAAGCGGTAACCTTTAAAAGTTTAATATATGTAATTTTTTACATATACAAGAAATATATAAAATGAGAGAATATGCAATTCATATTTCGCAATTTATAGAACGATTTATATTTCAGTCACGTATACATTTGCACATTTAATATATCTTTGTACATATGTACATTTTAGAGATTATACACCTTACAACTAGGTATTTTTGATTTTTCATTCATATTAATATCTATAGTCGAATTGCCACATGGCTCAATAAAAAAAACAAATTAAAATGTCAAAACGAAATATGTCATGTAATATACTTAAGTATTTAATATGTAATATACAATATACATATTTTTTTTATAAGTAGTTGATTTTATAAATATTTCATACCGTTTATAAAAGAGGTAGTATGAGGCTTTATCGACAAAAGAATCTCCAACAAACAGCTTAAAAGTCTGCCGTTCGAGATTTAAGTTAAAAATTCTAAAATAGAATGTTTTCCATATTATTGAATTGACAAAATGTATTAATATTAATTATTCATCCTAAATATTAATAATTCATCCTAATGAATCAGCGTGTTTGGTCATATCACTTTCAGTGATGTGACAGTTTACACGTATCACATACATCTACTTCTGTTATTAACGAGCGTCTTAAGCCAAGGAGAATCCCAGCACGTCCTCCAACGAGTAGTCGAACAGCCTTAAATCTAATTTGTATAGATCTGCCAGCTTACGAAGCTGTTTGTAGCTCAGGGTAGAATAGTATCTGTCCAGTTTTCTCGAGGTCGGCTCGCTGCTTGGCGGTCTAGCTGGAAAACTGCGCAATTATATTTAATAGAGTGTTTCCGCGAATCTAGGTGTCTATTAAAATATTTGAACACTGTCCGATAAATTTTTTTTCTAAACCACGAACGGGACAAAATGATCCTTACAAATTTTTTGTAATCGCTGGAAATAAATTTTATATAAATTTTCGGCATTTTTAAGTAAAATTTTCTCAAAAACATGATAGAGCAATTTTATTTGTTCAACGACAAAAAAAAGTCTGTAAAAATCACTTTGTCCCCTTTGTGATTTAAAATCTGTGTCGGACAATGTTATCATCTCGCTATCGTGAGTATTATCGTAAGTGCGCGCATGTACTACCTACTTTACAGATGTGACGCCTATCCGTTCGAGAACTTCCGTGGCGTCTTCGACCAAACTCTCGTATTTGCTTATGAGATTGTAATTAACTATGCACGGTTGACACAGATCGTATACCGGTCTCCAATGTTCATTTCGTGTTCCGTTCTCGGTATTGTCGTCGGTGACAAAATCGACAAACTCGCGAAACGTTACGTCGTCACCGTTCCTCAGAGACTCCTCGGTCGCGTTCAGTCTGTATCTCTGCAAAAATGTCACGCAGTTAAAGTCACTACTTGTGACTTGATGTTTTCGATGTTGAGCTATTCGTTCTCCATTTGCATACGGAACCTGCCATTAACGGTTAATGCGATAAAAGTGGGACAATAATCTCGCAGGATTAATCGCAATCATATTCCGGAGAAGTGCGCAATTATACGGTACTTCTAAATTTGATTCAATTGCCGAAGAAACAAGGATTTACATCTTATACGACGCCTGAACAAACAAATATTTTCTTTTTGTACTAAATGTAGCCCTTTGGCGATACAGCTAAAAATAATTCGAGAGGAAGAAATTTCATCGAGATAAGTCGTTTATTGATTCTGCCAGTTTTAATTTAGGCTATCATATCTAACATGAAATCATAGCATGAGATCATATATTGATTCGTAAATACATTGCGTGCCGAATAACATGTAATCGAAATATCAATATTAAAGAAACAATATTAAAGAAAGAAAATATAAACGATAAAGCAGAAATTTTACTATATTTACACTGTACACAGAGTTGGAAAATTTGTGTTAAATTTAACTCATTTTACATACCTCAAATGGCCCGTTCAAATTTTTGTGTTAATTTAACCCAAAAAGATAAATATAAAATAAAAAATAACACAAATATTAAGTAAAAATTAACACAGAAGCACTTTAACACAATTTGGAAACAAATCGTGGAAACATTTTTTTTTAGTAAAATTAAACATTTATAATATATTAAATTAACAGTTATATTTATTTCATTCATTCTTTGAAATAATAATTTAAAACTACATTACTTTTACGTTATTTATTCATTTATTCATAAATTGTGTTATTTTAATACGGAGAATTATTAAATATCAATTTAACACAAATTATTCAGATACGTAATCACATAATCAAATTAAATTAATTCGAATCATGTTGAATTCAACATAAAAATTTTAACAAGAATTTGAGTAGACCTTTTAACATAAGTACGAAATCTTTTCTACTGTGTTCTAAGAAGGCTCGTTTTTTACCTTGACGATTTTCTTGCCGAAGCGAGTCTGGAAATATTTCGCACTTTTTTCATGCTTGGTCTCCAATTTATTTCGATAAGCCGATAAAAGCCTCTCGAGGGGATGTCGCACGACAATCAACTTGTCGTATGTCGCCAATTTTTTCTGTATCTCGGGCAGCGTGTAATTGTTCAATCGTTGAAAAGTACCGGGGGAATGAGCTTGATCGGCCGGTATCTCTAAAGGATCATTGCCGGACCACTTCCCGGTCGCGATCATTAGTACGCGCTTCCAATTTGTGCAAGCCACCTGAAAGATGAGACCGGGCTTAGAACGCGTAACGCGGCGCGATTTACAAGCACTCCTTACAAGTTATTATTAGACAATCTCGACCAAGAAAGAAAAGACGACGAATCTCGATACCTTCGGTACGTAGCAGTAGAGCAATTCGTGCAAATCATCCACGAGAATATTTCGAAATAATTCCGGATTTAACGCGGGGATATCGACCTCGTTACTTTCAAGCTCGCAATTATATTGCAGCCTTTCCTGTCTCTCGACCAAGGCCGACCTAGCCAGCGCGTTTGGCCCTGTCCAGGAATAAATATATTTGTTCAGCTCGAACGATTTCTCGTCTTCGTCATTTGAATAGATTTGCGCGACGTTCGTGGCGTTTGCGTACGCGGTCGTTTTCCATATGACTGCGAGTAAAATTATCCCCCACACTCGACATCCTGTCATCGTTTTTCTTTCTCCACCGCGAGCATTGGGCTCTCTTGCACGGTATCGTACAGCCTATACGAAACTCTGAATCTGCAAAAAAGAAAAAAAAAGATAAACGGCTCATTTTACGGAGTTCTCGATTCCAACGGAGCGGTCCATTAGGGAACCGTAATGATGATTCCATACGCTAAACGCTATATTCTCTTGTGCTACTTTCGATTAGATAGACACATCTATCATATGCGACACTAAACCAATTATGATTAGATTATCGATTTATTATGACGAATGTGCGAGATAATATATCAATCAGAAAACTTTGTACTGCAATAAGGCGATTCAATAACTCAGAATGTATAGGTACTGATGACGTAAAATGGGAGCAATTACGAACGTAGAACGTTAATTGCTGCATATATACAATAATAAAAAAATTGTCGTTTGTTAAAAAAAAAATTAAGAAGGATTCAATTAAAAAGATTCTCAATTCCGGCCTTACGGGAATAACAACCGCGTAAAATGTAATATATTAATCGTTATCAAGTTAACAAATAAGTGGTTGCGGCGTTTTCAATACAAATATAAAAATTTAACTTATATAGAACAAGAAATCAAGAAATACTAGCGAGAGTCAACGGTCATTCTTGATATTCTTGATATTCAGTTCTCCCAAGCCGGTTTTACAGCGGGTTTTTACGCTATTGACAAGATATATATTACTATATATATTAGGTAGCAAATTATTATTACGTATCCCCGAGCGAAGTCAAGCAAGAATTCCTTTTCATTTTTAACAAATTCTTTATATAATCGAAGAATTGCGCACAAAATATCGATTCTTCTTTTTTTACAACCTTTAATATTTATTTTTGCTATATATATCTCTTGTTACTACTTGTTGCATTTTCTTTTCTTTGACGGACAATGGAAGAGTGGACCGCAATATAACTTTCTAGGTCAATGTTACGGTCTCGTGGCACAAGTACACCACAACGTATACAATGTCTTTTCTTATTGTTAGTGGTGTACATAGTTATATTCGTAAAACTCGTATATTATAAAAATGCAGCATTATCTATTTTGAGATTTAATGATAATTTTTATCTCTTTTAGATGTACGAATTTATAATTTTGCTTTACAAATATTATGACAAGAAGATACAAGTAAACAGACTTTTTTTAACCTGAGAATAGTCACCTAGGTTTTTATTGCGTGAATGATCATCTGGGATAATTTTTACATTCCGATAAAAATTATTATTATTAATTACATATTATAATATTGTGTTCTACAATTTATTAGTATTTGAGATTATTTATGTATATAGATTTCAATATTTTCTAAAATAAAGTAAAAAGAAATAAAAAAATATAGGCATAAATTCTTAATTAGAAAGAAAATTACTGTAATCGAACTTTATTTTCTTACTGATTGAGTTCATAAATCGTTCCGGATTTCCCGGAACAGGATTTCCCGGAACAGGATTTCCCGGCTGTTATACATATGTATATACATATATATGTATACACGCACACACACATACATATATTGTTACAATAATTTCCGCAACTTGAGGAAAAATTTTTATAAAAATTGGTACAGTTTTGTACACACATACATAATTGTCAATTTTTCCTCAAGTTGCGGAAATTATTGTAAGAATTAATATTGGATTAACATTCGATGGTCTTTACATTTTTGTGAAATGCAAATAACCGTCTGTGAAATTTAAAAATAAGATTGTATTACGTCGAATATGTATCATGCTGCGAGATGCAACAAACGCAACCAAACGCAGTCTGAAGAAATCGAAGTGTAATCGTTTAGATAAGTATATAGATATTACTAAACATAAGTCAGACACGTGTAAAAGGAATCGTCCATAATGTCACGTTTCACCCTATATACTATAATCGAATGAAAAAACGGACAATAATCAGCAAAATAGATAATGAGGCCGAAGTTAATGAATCGTGAAAAAATGATGATAAAAACTAGCGTCGCGTTTCAGTTCGCGGGTTGTCCTAATTCAAAAGTGTTCCGAGGAATAGTTACTCCAAAATTCTATACGTATCGCATTATACGACAAGAATTTTAATTAAAATCGCCCCGTCAGCATCGTGCCTTCGCATGTCAATAATATATTTGAATCAAAGCCGGAATGCAAAGCCATATTAGATTTATTATTGCTAATGAAGATTCAAATCTCGTTATCGTTTGCAGCGATAATAACGTGCCTCGCAAGTTTATTACTCACTCAGCAATTTTTTTCGCGATGACGTATAAAATCCTCTCGGATAATATATATAATAATCAGTTCACTGTAACCGTCAGTCGAGGTCACTTCGGACAAGCGGCACTCCTTCGCAATTAATCGCGTATCTTTAGTGTTCGCGACTTATTTCGTGATCCAGTACAACTGACTAGGCGACGAGACAGGTAAGGCGTGTGTTCAAAAGCGGAGCGACTCCGTAAATCCGTCAAGCGCACTGACCTTCTTCAGAACTTCAGAAAGACCTTGGACTTCCGTGAATGAGTTAGATATTTATTATCGCCGATAAATCAGCCGATCCACTTGCGAAGAATTCCCTCGGACCGGCGCGAAAGAGGCACTTCCGTTTCACTTCTCCCGAAATTTCGGGCGGCGGCCGACGAACTGGCTGCACGCTCGACAACGCGATATCGGCGGATGCCGCGCACCGTAAGGAGAACACGAGTGGTCAAGCAGCCGATCGCGGTGTAAGCAGCTGGCGATCGCGTTAGGTCGCCTGGAAGACTCTCAGGAACGAAACGATGATGTGTCGGTGTGCGAAGTGAAAGAGACGCGCTGCGCGCGCCTTCGCTCTCTCGTTCTCGTTTCCTTTTCGGTCGTCCTGGATCGGTCCATCCTCCTCCGATTCATGGATTCACGTCCACGTACTTCCCCACTTTCGGCTTACACCCGGCTCGTGTGTGTGTGTGTATAATACATTCGCAGAAACAGACATTCCGTAATGCAAATTCAAATCATATGATGCATAATCGATGAGCTCACGGGAGCGACGGGTCGTCTGCCCGTCGTGACGGATCACGAAAAACCAATTGCCGACGATCAATTTCGAGCTTAACGAGCCAAGGAATTTAACGCTTTAAAATTTACTCAAGTGGAACGTAATAGATTGACCCTTTTCTCCTTAATCTCTCGAACACGTTTTGTTGTGAGACAGAATCATCCGCATCATCTTATTTGTTTACTCGTGTTTTACACTCTTTCTGGTTGTCACCGACAGTTCCATCTCATTGCATAATTTACATACCTTACTTTCACTTTTATGTCACATACGAGGCTTTCTTAAAATAATTTTCTTCTGTACGAAATAATCTGCACATGTGTTATTACGCAATTATTGTTACGTAACTTTATACGAAAGTCTGTGTGCCATAAATCCTTTTTCCTTTATAGTTTTGCAACAGTCGTGCTGATTTATCATTTTATCTATTTTATCTATGATAAAGCTACAAGAACACTATTATATATACTCTCTAAATCTGAATCAGTACATAGTCACTGATTATTCATTCAATGCATCAGTCCCAAGTAATTATAATTAATATTAATAATTTAATTATAGATTATTAGTGAAATTATAGTTAGATTATATAGGTACTGACTCAATTAGTGATTTTTCAGTACTTTTTCACTGATTCAAATTTAAAGAGTAGTGTTCTTCAAAATCACGGACAATTCTCTTAATAACAGACTAATCTGTAACAAATTTTCTTATCTTATTCTTCTTTTTGTCGATTTTTTTTAGAAAACATTAAAACATTAATAATATTTTATTATAAGTGGTTTTACAAAATAAACTTAAAAGGAAAATAAAATTATATTCTTTAATTAATCTCAAAAGTTTACTTTATCGAAACTTAATATAAAATTTAATTGTTTACTTACATAACAATAAATTACTTATTCTTTTAACATTTTTTTAAATATTAACTCTAATCAATATTTATTCGGAAATTTCCTTAACTTGCAATGTATTCGTAGATTCAGTGTACCTAAAACATTAAATCAACGTATCTTTGCTTAAAGTTAACGTAATTGAACAAATTTTTTTTATTTTGAAAACCAAAACCCGAGGAATAAGAGTATATAACTTAAAACTATGTAAAATTGTGAAAAACGTTTATTATAAACAACTTTTCACAATACTATCTGAAGATTTGGCGTGTAATTGAAAAAAAAATGTCCGTGTCAATTGGACACGATTAGGATTAAATTAATAAAAATCTATCATTAAAATAATTTCTCATTTTGCAACATTATAATCTGTAAATATGCTGCATTGATTTATGCTTTACTTATTATAAATTAATTTAATACTTACTAATCTAAGAGGTTTCAAAAAACTTTAAGAACATTTTTTTATAATTCCATTATAAATAAATTATAATTTACATATATATTATTAAAATTGAATTTATAATTTGAAATTTGAAAATTGAATTGGAAATTTGGAAGTTTACATTTTATGAATTTTTAGTTTTTCAAATTTAGCAGACTTTTGCAAATTTTCGTGTAAATAATAATTTTGCAACTGCATACCAGTTGCAAAATGTAGTGGTTCCAACTGGGCGAATTGTAGGTCAGAAAATGCGGCCAGCTATGCTTGCAAAGTGACCTCTTTAAAGAAGGATTATATCAACTCACAATCAGGGTCAACGAGTTTTATCATTGGCTGGCAACACGTTCACATACAATCTCCATCGCGGATGAATGTCAGATCGTTAGCGAAATTGCTTCTGCTACAACAATCTGCGTTGCATCTACAAAAGTCTTTTAACTTCAATATAAGTGAAATTATCCCATATAGCGATGTGATATAAAAAAAATTCCAAAATAAACAGTTTGACAAGCAAATAAATAAAAAAAAAACACCATAAAGTATATTAAGAAAATCGATTTAATCACAAAAAATTAAGAAACAAAATTAATTAAAAAAGTTAATTAAGAAAACGGATCTCTAAATTGATGTCAAATCTACATTCATATTGGAAAATTCATTTGTTGGATCTCGTGACTTTCTTGTTGAAAATATTTACGTGTCGATGTTTTCTAAAATGTTATTTTCTACATGACTTTATGTGTCATCCGCGACAGAATCAATCAACATTAAACAATGTTTGCAAGATGCATAATGCTGAAAAAGTTTTAAAAACCATTTTTTTATATTTCCATTGTTAACAAATTAGTATCTACGTATAAAAATTAAAAAATTTACATTTCAGTCAGTGTAAATAAATACTTATCTATATATTAAATAATCGCAGAAAGAATAAAGTCAAAGAATTTATAGGAAAAAAAAGACGTACTTAATATAAATTAAGTAGTATGTAAAAAGGATGAATGGATGAGTGCGGTAATCATTTTTTGTAAACCAAATCACTTTCTTTTGGTTTATTATAGTTGAAATGAATAAATTTATTCAAATATTCTGTACTTGATAATCGCAATCTTAAACCCGACGAAATAATTAAATTACAATATGCAAGATGCATATTCGAGTTGCGCACTAAAAGTTGGGATCTTCGTCTGACCTAAAAACAAAAAAGTGCATTTCAGTCAGGTGAATTTCAGCAAAAGGAGAAAGTGCCATGACTTCTCGACTTGGCCTTCAGTACAATCACCGGCGCGAGATGACGTTTAGTCTTGCTTCGGCCTTCGTTCTTCGTGCATCTCTTACCGCGCCGGTGCGGAAAACGCGTACAGATAAAAGTGAGGGTGGATAAAAGATAAGGGAAGCTCAGCGACCAAAACGTACGGTGTAAGAGAAGACACCAATCGCTTTTTGTTGCGTTATCGAAATATCTAACGCGGTTAGGTAATACACTTTCACGTGTTAGAACCTTGAGATTCCCGCAAATGTTTTCTCAAATTGTGACATCGTATTTATGTGAGCACTTTGTTGTTAAAAAAAAAATCTATAATCAATAAAAACTTCCAGGAAAATTAATTAAAGTCAAGTGAAGTTTAATTTAGTACGTTTTTTTCCATCGTAGAAATAATTGTAAAATTACAAAGCAAATGATTATATAAATGAGTATCTGATGCCTGAACAAGAATATATCAAAATTTTTTCTCTAATAAAAACATAAGGGAACTGTTTTCTGTAATTTTTAACTGACAAGATATTTTTCTAATTTGTAGGCAGACGATAGAACGTGAAATAAAAACAGAAAATGCTAATAACAATAGCATTTTGGATGTTGGTCATTTTAATTATTTTTTGGATTCTACTTGGTCCTGTTACGAGATTTTTGCGTGTTTTATGGGAAATTATTATGCAAATATACAATAAGAAGACAATCGATTTGCGAACAAAGTTTGGCGAATGGGCGGGTAAGCGCAAAAGAAATTATCTCTCTTGAATTTTAATTAACTTTATAAACATCATTTAAATTATTGACAATCTCTGTTCCTTAACTAACTGTAACATTTTATCGTACTATTTTGGATATGAAAACATTTTCTGCAAGACTAAGAAAAAGGCAAAACAAGTTTCGCAAAAGTATCTATATACTTTTTATTAATTACATTATAAAAGAAAGTTATATGAAAAATAATAAATTATAATATTATAAAAAAAGTAATATTAAATTATTCTAGTTGTCACTGGCTCGACTGACGGTATCGGAAAAGCTTATGCTAAAGAGTTAGCAGCAAGAAATATGAATCTAATACTAATTAGTAGAAACTTAGAGAAACTTGAACGCACAAAAAATGAGATGCTGATAACAAATCCAAAAATCGAGGTGAGGATTATTGCGGCGGACTTCGCCGAAGGAGAAAATGCTTTTACCAAAATCCGTCCTCTGTTGAAAGATATATCCGTCGGAATATTAGGTAATTAAATTGATTTATTATTTTTATTATAATAATTTAGTAAAATCACATAATCCTTGCGTGCCCAATAAATATTAGTAAGAAATTACTGAAGATATATGAGCCATTTTTTAAATATATTCCAATTTTAGAAAAAATAAATTGAAAATGACTTGTATCTTCTACGGATTTTTACCAATTTTAATTTTTTTTATTTTTAAGTTTAATATTTTTTATAACATCTTTACAAATTAATCAACAGAAATTTGACTAAATTTGTTAAACGAAATTACATAAACTTTTTTTTAAATGGTATAAGTCTATTTTCAACAATTTATTCCCGCGTATGATCTTTTAATAAAATTCAAGCAAGCTGTTTACATGAACAGAAATGGTTAAATGTATAAGCTTATATAATATAAATAAATAATATAGACTATAATAAATAATATAGACTATATATTCAACTAAAATAAGAAACTATTGTATTCTGCAAAATATTATAATGTAATTTTTTTCTTAAAAAAATTATTAACAAAAATTATTAATCCTAAATAATTTAATTAATTTAATAAGTGTGATTTGACATTCAAAAGTTTATTTTTATCGTTTTTATTTTTATTATTATTATTTACATTTTAGAATTATACTTTAAGATAGTCTTTATTTCGAAATTTAAATATAAATTTAATTGGTATAAATCTGTATAAAAGCCAATTTTTGAAAGTAATATAAGTCCAATCAATTGTCAACAAAAATATTGTTTTACTTAGGCAATGCTTAACAATTATTATATAATAAAATTACAATGTTTATTATTTTAAAACATATAGCAGACTTATAATGCTTAACAATATTTTTTAACAAAATAAAATGCTGAACATTAAATATGTCAAAATAAGATAGAAAAAAGATAGACTTATAAAACTTATATTTAAAAAAAACGGCTTATGTATTAGATGTCATAATCATTACTTAAAAATGAGGAATTAAGAGAAAGTAATTGTGTAATCGCTATCTCTCTCTCAATTTACTTTCATACACGATCAACACTACAGTCTGCGTTCTTTTTACACATAAATGCTTTACGTTATGAAAGAGAGAATAATCTTTGAAAAATGATCAATGACCTTCCATTCTCTTTACCGTCAGATTTTTTCTGAAAATAATTAATAACCTATCGCGATGTCAATGTAAACAGGTTTACTGAGTTAAAAAATTTGCCACATGTTTGTACTCGCAACGTAATGTCGCGACGCTTCAATGTTCTCCCCTCCAGTTTACTATCCGACGAGCAGAGGTCATTCTTCCGTGGAACAAAGAGTATAGATAATACCTAACACGATAATACACAAGTCAAGGGTACATAAATTAATACATTAATTAATTTTTAGCATCTACACACACAAGAAAGACTATTGACATTTCTATATGGATACGACGTGTCATACGATATATTAAACAATTTTTGTTTTTAAGTGAACAATGTGGGTAAGCAATACGAGTATCCCATGTACGTCGGCGAAGTCCCCGAAAAGGAGCTGTGGGACATTATCAACGTAAACGTCGGCGCCACGACGTTAATGACGCGGCTGGTTATCGGGCAGATGCAAAAACGCAAACAAGGCGCGATTGTCAACGTCTCCTCCGGATCTGAGTTTCAGCCGCTGCCGCTGATGACGGTATACGCCGCTACGAAGGCGTACGTCAAGAGCTTCTCCGACGCTCTCAGGGCGGAATACTCCAGATTCGGCGTAACTGTTCAACACCTGTCACCTCTTTTCGTCAATACAAAAATGAACGCGTTTAGTTCTAGGCTTCAGGTAACGAAACCGTTATTGAAGTACATAATAGGACTTAAACGGTAATTCCATTAAATTATTGAAGCAATCAAAATTTTGGAGTTCTTCAAGTTTATTTTTAATGAGTTAATTTGCTGCACGTTAATTTTATAGCGTTAATATGTAATGCATTATATATATATATATATATATATATACGTGT